CATCATAGTGATTTTGCAGAAATATTATTAGTTCACAATTACATCTCGCCATCCTGTTGTCCCAGCTTCACTGCAAGTAATCTTTGTTTTTGCTTTTTTTTTTTTTTCAAAAAATGTGGATGTTATGCTGCTCCCAACAACTCTTCATTGAATCTCCTGTGCCTGGAGAAGAGTCAAGTCTCCACACGTTAGCTATGGTCGTCCTTCCTGTCTACCACACTGAGCCTCTGCAACATAAGGACTGTGGTGGTTTGTTGTTATGCACTCCTGTGCACTTATTTCTGAATGCATTCTTTTATTCAGAAAGCAGGGCCACAGAGAAACAAAGAAGCACCGTCCATCCACTCACCTGCTGTAAATAAAATCTCGATCAGTGTTTGTGCTACATGAACTAATGCATTAGGCAATTAACTCATACTGTTTTCTTAACTATTTCTCCACTCTGTCAGTTTGCTTGTTGTCTATTTTGCACAGATAAAAACTCTTCCACACTTTTTTAAAAATATTATTTCCTGAGAAGTTTTCCCCACAAAACAAATGTAGCAACAATTTTATAATGCAAGGGTCATATTTTTACCATATGAGTCATATTTCCCTTGTGAATCATAGGATCAACTCATTGTGCCAGCACGCAATTTATGATTGTTTTTCCATAACCACAGACAATTTTTAAACTCTTACTGTTAGTGTAAAATATGTTTGATATTAATTAAAGTTACTTTAATTTTTAAAAGAGCACTTTTCCCTATGTAATATAAATTGAATTTTTGCTACATGTGCCTTGAGATTTGTACTAGTTCATCTTTTCTGTATCAATAATAATTGCCAAGCATTTATTTATGACTAAATACATTTCCCATTCTTTTGTTTCTTTAGGTTTGTAATATATTCTTTATGACAGGTATTTCTGGACTCACTGCTTTACTCTAGTGATTGGTGTCTACACTCATTTTAAAGCATCATTTTTTTTTTATTAATCTTATTTAGTTGCTTAGGGTACAAAGGGTCAAGGGTAATAGGTAAGTGGGTAACACCATTGCCTCCACACTAATATCATCATTTTTTCCCCCTGTATCTGGGGTCAGGGGAGAAACAAAGGGAAAAGCCCCACCCAGCCTCCCACCCATCCCAGGTCCCCTATGCGAGGTACGCTCCAAGGGTTGTTCTCAAGCAGTTTTGATAGTTCAACAGTTCTGAATTGTTGCCAGTCTCGCCCTTCCAATCGCGATAAAATCTATTCAGAATCTACTGGCTGACATAGTCTCTTCATGGTTGGGATTCTGAGATTTTGTGTGCTTGCCAGTACAGGGTCCGGCACAGTCCATCGCCCCAATTAGCTTATGCACATGCTGGTCATTTCAATTACTGGGTCAGCTGTGTTTCCAGCCCTGTCTTCCACATGAACCCATGGGTGTCGTAGTCTAGTCCGATCCTGCCCACTTCATACTCGGCCCTCATGCAAGCCCATGGGACCTGCAGCCTAGGTGGGTGACTCCCCTAACCCCCATCTGGCCTGCCCCCTACCTTGGTTCCTATGCTTGCCAGTATGTACCACAGACTTATTCAGTCTTGCCCACATCCCATTTAGCTCTGGTACTTGTCAATGGGCATTGTAGCCTAGTTCAACCCGACCAACCTACTATCCAGCCCATACACCTACTGGCAGGTGCCTTTCTGTCTAGCCACCTCTGTCCCTGTCCTGGTTTTCATGCTCTCCAATGGGAGTGGTAACCGAAGAAGGAGGTGCCCACTATCTCCTTACTAGGCCACTCCAAATTCCAGATTGTGCACTCTCCAGGTGGTTCTTGAGTTGAACTTGACAGCTGAATTTTAAGCTCCCAGTGTCAGCCTCTGCCAGCTGAAGCACTATATTATTTTTTAACTTTTTTAAAAAGGATGAATTTTTAACTTTTTTAAAAAATACTGAATTTTGCTTTATCACATAAAGTAAAAAAAAAAAGACCTAATTTTCATTGTTTAAAAATCATGATTTTTTTTTGTTTTTATTGATTTTCTTTTCATCCTCCACAGTTTTCAGATTCTATATACTCTTCAATGAGAATATTAACATCAGTATTGTGTAAGCTGCTTGTACAAATTCAGGCAGTGGGTTAACCATTAACTAATTTAGTTATTAGTCTTCCTAGCAAGTGATTAGCTACTAGGCTTCTGAACAAGTTCCTTATTGGAACTTAAGATACTTCCCATTATAAATCTCCATCCAGACTTGAATTCCTGTGTACGTGTCACCCAAGCGATAACAAGGTGCTTCTTCAGTGTATTTCCTATGGAAAACCAATAAAGAGAAATAGAGCTGATTTTTGTGGATTCATCTCTCACCATGATATCGGAGTAGACAGGTTTCCTGTCTGGTAATTCCTGTGGATTTTGTAGGTATAGTCATATCCTCAATAAAACCTGCTTTCTTTTTTACATGCATTTTTTTTTAAAGATTTATTATTTTTTTTATTGGAAAGGCAGATATACAGAGAGGAGAGACAGAGAGGAAGATCTTCCGTCCAATGATTCACTCCCCAAGTGAGCGCAACGGCCGATGCTATGCTGATCCGAAGCCAGGAGCCTCTTCCGGGTCTCCCATGCGGGTGCAGGGTCCCAAAGCTTTGGGCCGTCCTCAACTGCTTTCCCGGGCCACAGGCAGGGAGCTGGAAGGGAAGCGGGGCTGCCGGGATTAGAACCGGTGCCGATAATGGGATCCCGGGCGTGCAAGGAGAGGACCTTAACCACTGCGCCACCGCGCCGGGCCCCTTACATGCATTTTCTACATATTGCTTTTCAACATTTTCCAACCCAGCTGTTGTTTGTTCTTTTGTTTGGATGTTTTGGTTTGTTTAGTTCTTTGGGTTTTTAAAGATTTATTTATTAGGACCAGTACTGTGATGTAATGACTTAACTTATCCCTGCAAAGTTGGCATCCTATATGGGTGCCAATTTGAGTGTCAGCTCCTCCACATCCAATCCAGCTCCCTGATAACATGTCCAGGAGAGCAGTGGAGAACAGTCCTGGTACCTGGAACCCTGATCTATGTGGGAGACCTGAATCAAGATCCTGACTCCTGCTTTAAGCCTGCCCCAGTTCTCACTGCTATGACCTTACAGACAGTGAACCTATGGATGAAAATCCTCTCTCTCTCTCTCTCTCTCTCTCTCTCGCTTTCTCTCTCTCTCGCGCGCGCGCTTTCTCTCTGTCTGCAACTCAAACTTTCAAATAAATAGGCCTTTTTAAAAACTGCTTTGTCCATCTTAAGCTGTGTTCTGAAGCCGTTAGCAGTGAGGCGGATCAAAAATCGAGCAGTCAGGACACAAAACAGTACTTATATGGGATGCCAGCATTGCAGGCAGTGGCTTGTCGCTACATCACAATGCTGGCCCCTGGCTCTTGATTTTAAATATATGTATCCTAACAAGATTGTCTTTTTTCTTGATTAGCCCCTGAAAACTGCCATTTTATGCATTTAGAAACAACTTTCTCAATTAACTTTTCAAAATCTACTGAGATCCTGAAATATTTTTTTTTATTTTTCTTGTTGCTTTATTATTATCCTCAGTTTGCCAAGCTAAGTCACTCTCCATTATTGCAGATATTATTTTAGGCACCCATATGTCTCAAATCATCATTATCATTTTTATCATGGTCACTTTCTGTACGTCATCCTTTGAAATTAAAAAAAAATTTTTTTATTTTTTTAAAAATTAAAAAATCTTTAAAAAGGTCTATTGCATGCATGTTTTTCTTTATTTCTTTTTCTGTCTGCTTATATTAGGGCTCTTTTTTAAAGGATTTATTTATTTATTTGAAAAGCAGAGATGCAGAGAAAAGGAAAGAGAAAGAAAGCTTTCCTCCAGTAGCTGAATCTTCAAATGACTATGATTGCCAGAGCTGGGCCAGACCAAAACTAGGAGCCTGAAACTGCACCCAGGCGTCCTGCATGGACGTCAGGTGGCCCAAGCACTCAAGCCATCCCTTTTGTTTACTCAAGCACATCAGCGGGAAGCTGGATGGGAAGCAGTGCCTCCAGGACTCAAACTGGCATTCATATGGAGGCACAGATGACAGCTTAACCCACCTCACCCTGCTCCTACAGGAGCAACTTCTAGAAGATCTTACAAGTTTGACATACTAGTGAATTTAAAAACAGACAACTGAGCATGATATTCTTATTTTTTCTGTTACTCATTGAATGTCTCCATTTCTAATTTATTCTAAATCTAATCTATATGTAATGCAAATAAAGTGCCTGATCCCAGTGAAAGCTCAATGAGAATTAATGTTAGTGTGCAGTTGGACCATGCATGGGAAGGACCATGATGCTATACTTCTAGTTGCCTTGAATCTAGGACTGGGAGAACTGGTATACCGCCCAGCTGAGCCAGGCTGCTGTGGGGGCTGCAGCGACCCACACCAGTGCCTTAAACACAGACGTTCAGGAATCACCTTCTCCCCGAGCACGCCTTTGTATCCTGCACAGCTGCTTGCTTGGTGCTTTGCTTGCAATACACACTGGGTTACCAGATCGAGAGGGAAAACAGTCCCAATGAGTTCTTGGCCCAGAAACCATGGTGTTTTGTCTCCTGCTTTTTGTACATTCCAGCCGCTCTCATTTAAATCAAAGGGTTTTTGTCTGCAGAGACTTTGCGCTTTAGCTTACTTCTTTCTGGCTCTCTTTCTTGGTGTAGCTCTTCTCCGGGTCCTTTGAATAAGATGACAATCTCTTTGGCTCTCTCTCCCTCCGATTTTAAGATCAATGGAAATCAACAAAAGCAAAAAGAAAAGAAAAAGCGCCCCCACCTGAGTCAGACTCGTCCTCCCAATCCAGCGATTGCTCCTGACTCCCTGTTTGAATAACCCCAGGAATCGGATCCACCCCCACAGCTCAAGTTTGAACTCCAGAACAAATATTTGTCTCGATGTTGAACAAAGTCAGAGACCTTTCTTCTTTGTCTTCTTTTTTAAAATAAAATGCACTTCTCTGGTGTTGTTTTGAACTTGGTTCAGTAAAAAGAAGTGGAATTCCCAGGACATCTGCTCTGGAGTGCTTGGCAGAGCTGTCCAGAAAGAAATGAAGGGATTCAAGTGTTTTCTCATCTGCTTCTTTCTTTTGGAAGCACAAGCCTTCGAAATACCCACAGATGAACTTTCTGAAGTAAGTATTTCCAGAGGATGGCTAGCTGCCATTTTATGCTCAGCAAATACCTTATTTTGATAATCATTCCATCATCGTATTCAGTGTATGATGGAAATTGGGAGAATATTCATCACAATACCTGTGAGTGCTGTTATTAAGTATTGGGCTGTGTATTTTCCTGTCAGAGTATTAAAACAGGCTTTGCATGATAATTAAGTCAAGGACAATGAGCAGGGAAAGGGCAGCATTGTGGAGCCTATCTGCTCCCTTCTGTATCTAGAAAATACAAGTGATAATAGACCTATCCCAAAGACATGTTATGGAAATTAAATAATGCATGTGAACTACCAAGTATGGTTTGTCGACTAATAAGAACTTAACGATTAGTAGCTATTGTTATTTTACTATTATTGCTTCACTGGGTGTATTAAAACAATGTCATTATCAAAGCACCAGTGTTTTTCATATCAAAATGAGTGATGATTCTATAATAAGGGCATTTTAAATACTCCTGTTAAAAGGGAAATGGCAAATCCAGGGTGTCCAAGTGCAGGAATAATTCTCATGGAGCTCCAGGTCTCCACTGGGATTCCTAGCTACCCTCAATACAAGGGAAATCTTGCAGTGTGCCATTGTGGGAGCCTCATAGGAGCTTATTTTATCCAGAAAGCACGGGCTGTTATAATAGCTTAGCAAATGTAATGTCTTGAAATGCTTGAAAGAGTGATTATGTACAAAAATGCCAAAACATACGATGACATGTTTTATGCAAGAAAGAATTGATTCTTCCTTAAAATCTGTCATATTTTCCAACACTTAGAAAACCATCAGAGCGTGTTGGAGATCTCAAACTGAAGCCAAGACATCTGAATGTGTGGGCCCTTACTCAGTCCTTTCTAGCTGCCGTTTCTCCCACACATAACTGAAGGAGCTGTAAGGCTGTCATCTCCCCAGTCTGACACGGCAGCACCCTGAGATCCACCCGGTGCCCCCCTAACTGTGGGGTCTCTCTGACCTTACCTGTCTGTCTCATCATTTTCTGGAAAACAAACAAACAAAAATAATAGCAATAATAATTCTCACCTCCATCAAACTTGAAGATGTTAATTTCTGCTCACTGATCTTTGAAACAAAACTGGCAAACATAAAATATATTAAAGAAATAAATCATTGTATTAAAAGATTAATTGCCCAAAGGTGAAGAATATAAATTAATCAATCACAAGCAGCTGCGCTTTTTTTGCTTTAAATAAATAAATAAAGAGAAATAAACAGAAATAAGCATCCTAAATTGTTTTTTTAAGTTTGCAGAATATGGAGATCTTTTGGAACCGGCTCCAGGCAAATTCCAATTTGTTCCAGACAACCGGAGGTATCAGGTACAGTAAACTTTACTTCCAAAGCGACAATAAGTGAAGAAATAGCGATTGAAGGTCTAAGAGAAGTATGAAGGTAGTTTTTGCTAGATTTTTTTCAAGAGCCCCTCCCCCTCTGTTTTAGCAGCGAAGTTTGGCATTTTTACACTGAAATGGAAGTGTTGTCCAGGGGAAGTAAAAGGAGAATTCCGTAGAGCTGTTCAGTAGTTTCCAAAGCATACTAGTCCCGCACAGAACATAGGGTGGTGTATTTTCTTACAAATCATAGATTGTGGGATGATTTATTGCCTTGCGAGGAAGGAGGGCTTTGCTTACTCCAGGGGTGACTGACACTTCCGTTGCTAGTCAAACACATGTTGTCCTTCCTTCAGTGGCTCTGTCTTGGGAAGGGATTCAAAGGAGAACCAGCCACTAGCAGCAGAATAGGCATACTCCCCCAATCAACTGGCTTCCCCTAAAAGGGGTCCACACACTAAGAAAAGGTGTTTACGGAACAATCTAAGCTGAATAGTGACTTATTTCATGTGTGAATTTTAGATTCTCTGGAAGCCTAGTCTTGTTGTAGATCAGTAATATTAAAATCCATGACCTTATGATCAGCACTTCATCTAGCCACGGTATCTTCATCCAGTTATTATGTATCAACTTCAGAAAGTCTAAAATAGAGAATGAGCATGTAACCTAGCGGTTAACAAGCCTGGGATCCACAGTGGAATACTGAGATTTGATTCTGAGTTCCTGCTAATGCAGGTCCTGGGAAGGAGCGGTGACACTGTAAGCAATAGGGTTCCTGGTACGCTCAGAGGAGACCTGAACTGAATTCCCAGCTCACGGATTTCACCTCTAGTCCAGCCTAGGTTATTGTCAGCATTAGGAGAATGAACTAACAATTTGGAGTGCTCGTTCCCTCTCTCTTTCTCCCTCTCTCTTTCTTTCTGTCTCTCTCTCTCTCCATATATAATATATATATAATTAATGCACAAATATAAATAATTTAAGTCTAAAATAACGTCACTGCTGACTTCGCTGTGTCATATATCACCCACCAAAACCCCAGTTCTCCTCCAACTTGGCAAGTTTAGTTTGTGGCAAACACCTGATGTTACTTTAGAATCATCAAACAGACATTAAACCATTCAATTTTCTTTTTTTTTTTTTTTTTTACAATCTTGACATAATTAGGGTTAAAATGTTCAAGCGCTACAGGAAGATGGGCGAGACAATTAGTTCCATATTGTTTCCTTAATATATCTGATGTAAAAGGGGATTTTAAGGGAGAAGCCCCACCCAGTCTCCCAGGTCCCGGATGTGGGGCATGCTCCAAGGGTCTTGCTCAAGTGGTTTTGATAGTTCAACAGTTCTGAATTGCTGCCACTCTCACCACTCCAAGCACGATGAGGTCATTGAAGAATCCGCTGATTGACATAGTCCATCATAGAGTCTCCGTTTGCCCAGTTTTTCACTGCCAACATATAGCTAAGGTGGTTGACTGAAAACCATTCAATTTTCAAAGACAAAGGTATTTCCTTTATCTGCTCCCATAGGATGGTCATCCCTATAGCTCTACCCCAGCACAGTGGTTAAGAGCATGGAATTTTAGGTGCCAATAATTCTGTTTGGCTCTGGAACTATACATGGAGAAAGCATCAATGTCTTGCTTTCACACAGCTTAGACTAAAGAACAGACCTTGGCCAAATCATTGCTCAAAGACAAAGAGGAATTGTAAAGCAAGGTGGGTGCTCTGAAGGAATAGACTGCTCCTGAAACAGCTGGTCGTGTCTGAAGGGGGTCAGAGAACTGCACAAGGGAAAGCCACCCTGAGCTGAGATCCTAAGAACACATTAGGGAATGGAGAAAGAAACATGGTAGGAAGAGGTGCGTTTTCAAAGTGGGACCAGCATTCACTGAGCCTTATATCCAAATGTGGCATCCAATTCATCCTTCAAGTGACTAAAACAGCAATAAGACCACTACAGTAAAGGATATCTACTGAGATGCTACCCAGTATGTTTGGTTGGATGCTCTCATCTAAAAAGATCTCTTTCACATAATTTCAAAGTGTGAAGGGCATGTTCCCAGAAAAATCTCAGAAACTGTTCAGAGAAACTCTATTTAGAAAAATTGTTTTCAAGAATGTTGATATTTAGCTCTGGGCTGTTACAAACAAAATATAGCTCAATTTTAAAGGGAAAAAAAAAGCATGAAACAAGTTTTCTCCCCGCTCGGGAAGTGATTAACCTATAGTTGAAAAAAATATTTGTCTAACTTCCTTCCCCAGAGAAGCCTTCCGGGAGAATCGGGAGAAGTGAGGGTAAGTTGACTTTGATTTCGTTACAAATTGATGCCCCAAATGATTTTTTCCGTTAACTATTACCTGAAAATCAATCCAGGTGTCTCCTCTGTGTTCATCCCTGAGAGTATTTACATGACTTTTGAAACATCCCCTTGCCTAATTCTTCTTAGAAGCATTTCTAAAATTCAGCATTAAAAAGTGCAGTATTTCCGGATAACACAAAAGCCACCAAGAACTGAATTTGTCTGTATTTTCTTGAATTTTACCAACAGCATAAATTTTATCCAACCATATGTATTTATTATAACAGGTTTGTATTATTATATGTATTTATTATAACAGGTTTGATTTAAATTAGGATACCTGACAGCTCTGGAGAGTAAAAGCATGACTGTGGGAAAGGAACTCTTAGACACAAAATGGCCCAGTTCCTTAACTTGTTCAAAATAGATCATCCTGTGGCCAGAAAACACAAACAGGAAGTGGTTTGTGCTGTGCTTCCTGCTATGAACTGCCAGAAACACATACTTGAGGAGACAGAAGAACAAATCAATTAGTTGAATTTTCTCTTGCCTGGAGGTGAGCTAGATGTTGGGGTTTAATATTGGAGGGCAAAGTTTAAGGCAGACATGTAGTGTTTGAATAGTGAAATTCGGGTTGAGAGAAAGCAAAATGGAATGAGTTGCATCACTGCCAATGACCTGAGGAAGCATAAAGCGCTCTGCCACACCCTCAGGTGCGTGTGCTTTCTGTTCCTTGCCTCTGAGGATTCAGACCATGGCTAGGTTTTACATGAGGGCTGCCTTTATTCAGTAGAGAAAAATTGGGAATGGCAGTACAGAAGATTGAACAAATAATTGTGTCAGAGTGTCCTTTCCAGGAATATTCTGTTTATTGCTCACCACCCTCAGTGTCCTTGTAGTTGCTTTAATTTGAAGAAGAAGAGGGGAATTAAAGATGAAATTGTAATAGATGGGACTGAAGAAGGTGGGTAGCGTTGTGAAACACGAAGACTCGCAAGTCTACCTTCACCCGTAGGCCTGCAGGTCACTCCCCAGTCTGAAGATACAGCTGAGATCTCTTTCCAACCCCATAATCCTGACTCCTTTACCTAGTTTTGACCTGGCATATAAACTTATTTGTTAGATTTTAAACAATCTTACTGCCTACAAGCATTTTCTGCTAGTGTCCTAATTTTTTCAAAATCATTAAAAATAGACTCAGAATGCTAAAGAGGCATATCAAAACATAGGTTACTTTCTGCCAGGGGTGAAATTTCAAGAAGTTAAGAGGGTGCTTAATAATACCTGAATATGTCCTTGCAAATAACCCCAGAATTAATTATAATGAGTATAAGAGATCATCATTACAGTTAGTTACACAGTGGAGCTCTGTGATTTTTCTTAGTACACTTATATTTTCCGGCCCATTTCAGGAGGATGTTGATCAAGTAACGCTGTATAGCTATAAAGTCCAGTCCACCATTACTTCTCGTGTGGCCAACACCATGATCCAGAGCAAACTGGTGAACAACTCGCCCCAGCCTCAGAATGTGGTGTTTGATGTTGAGATTCCAAAAGGAGCTTTCATTTCCAACTTCTCCATGTGAGTATGCCCTTCATCTAACCACAAATTGAATATGATGTACTCACCTCCTAGTTAAAGGAGGAGTTAAAGACCCTTCTAGTTAAAAAGAAATTACCAGTCAAGTATTCCAGTGGGCAAAATTCCAGAGCTGTGAACCTGCACTAGACATTGAGAGACATTTTACAGTCTATTCCAACAATTTGTTTGAGAAAAGCTTACAATAATTTGTGGCTAATTAACTTCTAATTTTCAATACATTAAAGCAATTTTAGGATTATGCTACCGCAACAATCTTTCACTTAAATCTATTTTAACATGATTTCTTAGGGGTGGAAAAATATATGATATTGCCTAGCTTACAGAAGCCATGTATGAGTATGTGTGTAGAAGGTCAATGTCATCTGCCATATAACTGTCATTAAGGGAAAAAAATCCAGAATCATTGATTTAATCCAACCATTTATCCAGTGGTTAAATTCCTCTATTATACCATGACAAGTGGGTAGTGAGGCTTGACCTGACTATCTCCTGAATGGATAAACTCACCACTTCTCAAGGAAATCAATTCAATGGTTGACAGCGCTGATAGAGCTCTTATACTTAATTTAAATATTTTCCATTTTCTACCCAATGACTCTAGTTCTACTCACATAGAATAAAAAAAAACCTCTACAAAATATATATTGAAGTGTTCATGAATAAAATGATATGCTATCAAGGTTTGACTTCAAAATAATCAAGGTAGAACGTGTGGGTGTTACAAATGAAATAAAACTGACAAGTATTAATAATGATGTAGCTCAATAAAGTTTTCTTATATTACTATACTGTTGTTATGCTTGAAAATTTACATAATAATTCACTAAAATTTCTTTGAAATAATTGAAACCAGTTACCTTGCCCACTTGCAGTCTTTGTTTATCAAAGTTTACCATCCTATTCCTCCAAGTAACTTAAATGGTTTCCCACTACTGAGCAACAGGGGACCTTCCCCCAAGTGGTTCCTGTTAATATCTCTTTAGTAGCCTAGAAAGAGACAATATACTTTGCATATCATGTGCCTACATTTTAGGAAGGCACTGGTTTGAGTTACTTCTCATTCATCTTTTTAAATTATTGTTTATGTATTCATTTATTTGAAAGAGAGATTGCTTTTCACTGATGCTCTTCTGAAGGAGGGAGTCAGGTGGAGTAAGAGGTGTCACTATGCTTCTAAAGCTATATTGTGCAACACATGAAATTTGTTCACTTTACACAGTTTTTTAAATGCCTACAAACAGAGCATTTACCAGGGATGAGTAAAAGCAAAGCCAGGAACTTGGAATTCCATCTAGGTCTCCCATGAGACTAACAGAGATCCCAGTACTTGGGTTAACAGCTACTGCCCCTCAAGTTGTGCATTCACAGGAAGCTAGCATGGAAACAATAGCAGGACTCCAACCCAGGGGCTCCAGTGTGGGATGTGGGCAGCAAGCTACATTCTAACTAACCACTGATCCCAATGTCCACTCTCTCATCCACTTTTGTGTTTCATGCACTGAAGTTCTCAACTGTAGCTGTGAATAAACAAGTGAAATAGGGCTTCAAATTTTACCATGCCCTGTAGCTGCTAGAAACTACAGCGCTATGTTAATATACTTTCTAAATTAAAGAATAGTGGGAGTTGGTATTATATGACTTTGAATTGCCTTTCAAAGCATAACTTTTTCTAAGGCCTTTTCTTAAAGTGCAAAGGGAGGGGCAAGTGTAGTGCATCAGATTAAGCTGCTGCTGGGTGTCCACATCCCATATCCTGGTGCAGCTTGCACTTGAGCTTCCCGCTCACATGCATCTGGGAGACACTGGATGACGGTTCAACTCCTTGGGTTCCTGCCACCCACATAGGAGACCTGGATAAAGTTCCTGGCTCCTGCTTTCAGCTTGGCCTAGACCCAAGTACTATAGGCATTGGAAAGATTCTCTTTCCTTCTCTCTCCCTTTCAAATAAATAAACTTTTTCTTAAAATAAAAAAGGAATAAGAAAAGGTTTTTCACTGTGGTATTATAAGATATTATATCTGAAAGTTGCATTTAAAACCTATTTTGGTAAGTCCTTATTTTTAAACCACATAACAAATTTACTTAGGTTTCTCTTCTCTCTGTATTTATTCATTTTTTTTCTTCCCCATCCCACCCCATAGAATATTTGAAGTGATGAAGACAGAACTGTAAATATCCATTTTACTTTTATCTCTTTCTGCTTAGAGCTGAATTTGCAAAACCAGGGAAGATAACTGCTTAGTCATTACTGTTGCCTGGAACTCCAGGTCAACCGAATGACATCCTCTGCCTTTGGTTCAAGGATTATAGGTGCTTGATCCTTAGTCTATGTGGGAAGAATGCTTTCTGGATGTGGAGTCTTCCAGACTCTCTCTGTTTGGGACCAGAAGCATGACCTCAGCCAAGTCACTTATCTCTCCTCTTAAGGGACAAACTGGGAAGTGTGTCTCAACACATATGTTGTTGTCATTTGGGGCAGAAAAAGTCCTTACTGGAGAAAATGTCCTTCAATTGTGACATTCTGGTGTTCTTCCCTAAGTGCCTGCAGCGCTTCTCAGTCAGCAGAACAGCTGGATATGTCTCCACCCATTTCTGCAGTCCTCTTTAGGAACAATACTACCCATTGGAAAGCCATAAGTGTCTACTGCCTTCTAAACTTGTGCAATTCTCAATTCCAACCAGTCATCACTGCATTAAGATTGGGTGCCAATGAGGGGGAGAAAGATGGATAGAAGTAGAAGCAGAGGTACAGACAAGACAGAGGTCTTCAGGACAGCCTTTAAGGAGCTAAACAGAAGCTCCTGAAGGGAATTCCCATGTACCTTTCTCTGTCTTTGTTTCTCTTCTCTCTTGTAGAATAGTGTAGCATCCTGTCTTAGCCTGCTCAGGCTGCTATAACCAAGCACCATAGATTGGGTGGCTTGTTAAACAACATATACTTATGTATTATAGTTTTGGAGACTGAGATATCTAAGGTTGAGATTCTGGAAAATTTGGTGTCTGGTGTCAGAGAGACAAGGGAATTCTTTGGATTCTAATAAGATCATCAATCCTATTTGGGAGGGTGACAACCTCATCGATCTAATTATCCACCCACTTCCCCGACATCACTTTCTAATACTATCATAGGTAGAATCTACAATCTGAAAGAGCTACAAACATTCATCCCTTTGCATACCCTGTTTTCAGGATGGGAATATATCTGGCCCTTCTCATTTCAAATTGTCAGAAAAATGAAATCCCACTTATGAATGATTCAAGGGTTTTCCTTTTAGTTTCTAAAATGATCATTGCTCCCATTGATTAGATCAACTTCTCTGGACTGGTTGTATATTGTTTATTGATTTTGCTAAGACTATTTCTTTGACCAACAGGTTCTCTTGTGTCATTTTCTAGGACTGTAGGTGGCATGACATTTACAAGTTCCATTAAGGAGAAAACAGTGGGCCAGACTCTCTACGCACAGGCCAGGGCAAAGGGCAAGACCGCTGGATTGGTGCGGTAAGGGCTGGGCCAATGGGACTTGCCTTCTCATCTCAATTGCTGCTCTCTCTCCTACCTCTTTCTCACACTGGCAAACCAGTCCTTAGAAGGACTCGAAGCAAATGCCAGATTCTTACAGTCAAGTGGTAGAAGCAGGTATTGCCATGTCATATTTCCATAAGGGCCTCTCTTCAGTCAGTGAGGACTGATGCATTTTTCTAGATGTGCTTACATCACTCTTCTTGAAGGAAACTGGATATTTTTACAAATAAACACTGACTTTTCCAGAGAAAAACTAGAAAACTAGTTTCTCTCAAGAGGAACTACAGAAATATTGATGATGTTATTATAAAACTCATCATAGGTACATGGACTTTGAAATTTTTGAAACTTTTATTTATTATTTGATGGCATGGAGCCTTAGCATCAGTTACTTAGCTTAGATTCTGGGTTATTTCCCCATTATAATCTTATATAAGATACTAGAAATGTTCATCTACTCTCAAAAAAGGAGCTACTCAAGCAAGAAACTTCAAAGGAATTCTCCATTGTATAACTGACTATGCTGCTCACATAATCTGCCAAATTCTGCCATTATTGTCTTGTTTTTATTGATTTATTTTTATATATTTAAAATTCAAAATCACAGAGACAGAGAGGAAGCCTATCCATGGCTCACACTTCAAGTGCTTCAGGGGACTGGAGTGGCCCAGTGAAAACCAGGAGCCAGAAACCGAATCTTGGCAATAACAGGGATGAAGTGTTTAAGCCATCATCTGCTGCCTCCCGTTAGCACCAGGAAGCTGGAATTGGGACTTGAGCTGAGACTAGAACTCAGGCACTCTGGTGTAAAGTACAGATACCCAAGTAGCATCTTAACAATCGCACCAAACACCTGCCCCATCACACGCATGCTTTTTTTTCCCCTTTCATCCTCTCTTTTATGTACCTAAACTTTTTTTCATTTGCTTCATGAATTCATTGTACAAAAAAATTGCATTATGTGTCAATTTTAAACCCACTTCTAATAGAGGTGAGTACATAACCCACCAAAACAAAACTAACACAAAAGCATCATACATGAAGAAGATAGGGGACTGATGACCACACTATAGACAATGGGGATACCAAGTAGTTTGTAAGTTCCAAGTACTAGATGTGCAATTTTGTTAGAGAGGTCCACAAAATCTTTACTGAGAACCAATATTTGAGCTGTGTCCTAATATCTTAATAGAATTTACAAAGTAGAAAAAGGAGAGAAAAAATTCCAAGCAGAAGGAAAGCTTCCAGCATTGCTGCAGGTTAATCAGGTTTTTTTTTTCTTTACAAACCATTTTTTTCCTGCTATTAACTGCCATTTGGAACAAGTTTGCCATGGAACAAGTCATCCATTCATTTATTTCCTTTTTTATTCGATAAGCATGTTTAACAAGACACTTATGGGTTCTGAAGATACAGCAGAAAACATAAATCCTACCTTCCAACCCACCAGTCAGGTAAACATGGCCTCTTAAGGCGTGGTCTACCTTGAAGCTTTCCACAGGCCATTTTTACTTTTTCCTTCAATTACCCATACTCCAAGCAAACTGTCCACAATGATTCCTTGATCTTTAATAGGCTAAATATGCCTTGCTCTTTTCATGATTTCTTGTAAAAAAAAAATGTTAAAAATCATTTATTATTTTTCCTAATTCTGGGGTTCTATTTATTTGATAGTCTTTTTTTTTTCTTTAAAACCACCTCTAGATCAATGGCCATATTGGACTTAAAATGTTCAGCATCTAAATAAGTCATTACACTAGACATATACTCAAATTTTTTGGAAAATAGAATTCTTATTTCTGAAGTTTTGAAAAATATTAAGGTCTCCTAGAATGGATCTCAAACATAGCGTAAGAAATCTGTGCTCCTTTGGGATCCCCTTAACTTGGCTGTGGGACTAGCACAGGATCTTGAGAAAGTTAGTTACCCTCAAAGGACCTCACCTGTTAGCACCATTTGTTTTTTTTTTTTTTTTAAGATTTATTTTTATTATTTTTTTATTGGAAAGGCGGAAGGCGGATATACAGAGAGGAGAGACAGAGAGGAAGATCTTCCATCCGATGCACTCCCCAAGTGAGCGCAAAGGCCGATACTATGCCAATCCGAAGCCAGGAGCCTCTTCCGGGTCTCCCACGCGGGTGCAGGGTCCCAAAGCTTTGGGCTGTCCTCGACTGCCTTCCCGGGCCACAGGCAGGGAGCTGGAAGGGAAGCGGGGTTGCCGGGATTAGAACCGGCGCCCATATGGGATCCCGGGCGTGCAAGGCGAGGACTTAACCACTTGCGCCACCGCGCCGGGCCCAGCACCATTTGTTAACTGGAAAACAAGGATGATAATGCCCATTCTGCGATCTTAGAGTGATATAGAGCAAGTTCCTGGCAGAGAGCTAGCACCAGATAGCATGCTAATTAGCAAGAAGCTTTGGAAACAAAAGGTGAAGTTGAATAGAAGGTTAAAATTCTTGGTGAGATTAATTTACTTAGAGGTTGCCTACTGTTACCTATTGTTAAGCTCTGATCACACACCTAGGATCAGGTGCCCTCTGCCTAGATTCTGAGTATTTTAACTCAGCTGTACACCAGACAATTAATACACTGGAGGCTCCCCCTTTTAGGAGCAAGACCTTTGACATGGAGAGCTTCCAAACCGAGGTGAACGTCCCGCCTGGAGCAAAGGTGCAGTTCGAGCTTCATTATGAGGAAGTGAAGTGGAGGAAGCTGGGATCCTATGAGCACAGGATTCACCTGCAGCCGGGACGGCTGGCCAAGCACTTGGAGGTGAGTGTGGGTTTGCAGCCTTTCTTGTGTGGCTCCTAAACCCTGATTCATACTTCCTCTTTTTCTTTTTCACCTACTTAATTTCATTCTCACAACATCCCCCAGAGGAAGTTGCTAATATAACCTTTATACTGATTGGGAACCTGGAAGCTTGAGAGGCTAAGTTCTCATACTCTTAGGATAAGAAACAGGATATTTCATTAATTTTAGATTAACATGTAACATCATCATAGGACACAGTACAGTGTTTCAACACATAAAGACAGCATAAAATTATCATACCAGGCAACTTGAACTTTTAGTTTCCTTGTGTTTTCTTTGTGTTGAAAGCCTACCAGCTCATCTCTTCCAGTTATTTATATAAAACATAATACATCAGCATGAACTATAGTCATACCACTATTCTGCAAAATACATTCACTTGTTACCTTCACCCAAATATATTGTGGTATCCATTACTGAATCTCCCCTCTAACTCTTCACCCCCCCATATTTGGTGAAGAATACACAGCATTTGTCTCCCTGTGTCTGGCTTAATTCACTTCCATTTTCAAGGCTTGTTTTATGTATTTGAAAGACAAAATGGCACAGACGAGGGGAGACAGAGAGGAAGATCTGTCCATCGGCTCATGCACCCACTACCACCATGTTCTATTTGTATCAGTTAGCCAACAAGCTATAACCTAGAGACATCCTTTCCAGACCATTCCTAACACCTGCCATGTCTTTATGCAAACCAGAAAATGAGGTCTTCTTCCTAACAAATATAGACCCATGCCAACCACATGACCTGGAAAGGTGGTGACTGACTGAGATGCCATGTAAATTAAATATGTGATCTTGTTTATTTTTCTAGTTGTGATCATGAATGTGTGCCTATCACCCATATTCTGTTGGGCAGTGTTATAAATTTTTAGGAGAATATATAGATTGATCCAGGGCCTTTCTATATGAAGATAATTCATCATGGTTGCAAGTAAATCCTAAATGAGAAAGAGGAGGAGGAGTGAAAATCTATGTGTGCACCAGGCACATGACCTTCACACTGAAATGGGTATATATAATTTTTTTTAAAAAAGGCCCAAATACAATATTGTGGCATGGGGCATAAACAACAGTGCCGTAATGTTAATGTGAGAAGATGGAACTGGAATTGTGCAAAGTCAAGAAGGAATGCAAAAAAATCAAGTGTTCAGGCTGTGAGTCTGAAGCCTGGCTTTGCTTTTTAAGCCCCGAGTCAGTCTGAGTCTGCTTCTGCATCTTTAAATAAGGAATAGCAAATAATAACAATAATAGTAATAATAATGATAGTGATAGGGAGATGAAATGGATTAATCCTCATGAAGGGCTTAGCTTTAAATATAATATAATATCAATTTATTATATAACATAATATAATATATTATATATAATATAATTATAAGTATAAATATAATTAAATTATGATATAATGATATAATATATTGTATAATGATTATGTTATAATATAGTAATATAATATAGATTTATTATGAATAAATATAATATATATTTTAAATATAATGAACATTCACGAAGCAGCAGCTGTGTCTAAGGCTTTGTCAGGAGTCCTAGTGATTCGTCCCAAAGATCTGCACAAAGCAGTAACACACAGAAGGAATAAGAACAGAACGACATGGGAAATATGATCTGTTTTTGATAAATCTGCAGAACAAAACCTTTTAATGCTTTCAATAATTACCTTCCCAACTCTAGGTAAACGTGTGGATAGTTGAACCTCAAGGACTGCGATTTCTTCACGTTCCTGACACATTTGAAGGCCATTTCGATGGTGTTCCTGTCATCTCCAAAGGACACCAGAAGGTACCCCAAGCGTACCTTTTGGTACATGTTGCATACATGTTGCAAAGCATTGAAGCAGCCCCTGGCTCCTGAGTCCTTGCTCCTCCTGTGTGCTCTTGGGAGGGGAGAAGTACTCTAGTTTGAGGTGAGGATACTCCAGCAAGGAACAGTGACCTCTGGGGAGAGTCCAGGATCCTCCACAGCATATACACAAAATGGCATTCCCCGTGGCTACATCTTAAATGAGAGACAGTCCCTTTATACAAACTCTTTCCAGAGCTGGTAGTCATTCCTTGCATGAGTCAAAGCCCTGAAACCCAGCAAACAGTAGCAATCTGGCGGTGACCCCCCTGCTCTGCTCCTTCCATCAGCAATGGATGAGTCTACTAATGCTGATAGGACCCAGAATGGCCAGAAGACAACACCCCTTCACCTATGAGCATGCGCAGCTAGCCAGTTCTCCTATGGAGGGATGTGAGGGCAGAAAGCAGATTCTAGCACCACCCTTCTGATACTGGTAAAGCTCTGTGGGTTCTTTCCTCAGTTTAGAATAGAAATTAAAAGCCAGGAATCTGCAGTAGACAGAAAACAATCATTTGCAAAGTGACCAGGTGAATGGGGAAAGAAGGAACAGGAAAGCACCTCCCGGGAGAGCCAGGAGATAGGATGTCTCCTGAAAAGAGAGAGAAAAAAGACAGTGAGATTTTTTTAAATTTCTTGGGTTTTTAAGGATTCCCTGACTCTTCTTTGTCTGGGCAGGCACTTTGGGGGGAAGATGTTCCCCATTGGTGGTCTCACAATCAATTAGGAAATGGCAAATGGCTGGGCAACGCCCATGCTGCCCGCTGGAAGATGTGGCCAATATTTTAGCAGGTGTGAATGGTCTCACCTTCTTTCCAGGCTCATGTCTCCTTCAAGCCCACGGTGGCACAGCAGAGAAAGTGTTCCAACTGCTCTGAGACTGCGGTCGACGGCCAGCTGCTGGTGATGTATGACGTGAACAGGGAGGAGAAGGCTGGGGAACTCGAGGTGCGTGCACACTCCGTACAACTCCCATGTGGTGGCTCAAGAAGGCTTGCTTGAAAAAACTCCCTGGCTTTACCAGCTTTTCCACACTTAGATAATCCAAAGAATCACGGAAATTATGGAGCAAGGAGAAGCTCACAACCATAGTCTATAGAATGATCTGGACGTATCGGAAAAACCCAGAGTCTAGTACATCGTGGGCTTTCATAACTATTTCTCTCTTCCCTTTTGCTAGGTCTTCCCAATTTCCCTTGTGCCAGGTCAGAGCCTTTAGAACTTATCAAAAAGTCTGTGAGTTTCTCCCAGGGACACAAGGTGAAGTGTGTTAGAGTCTACAGCCACATGCCCTGCAGCTGAACACTGTAATAAAAGCAACCAAAAGGCTGTGGGAAGAGAGTAAGGCAAGCCAGTTGTTTGCCAACCAAGACGGTAGTCAGAAGCCTAGAGGGGCAGTCTCCCATTGACTAAGGGAAAACTCCCAGGTCTCCCAAGTGGCAGATCACCATCCTTCAGGATCTGTCCTGCTGTTTCTCCACCCTGATTTCTAGAATTCTGTGGCCCCCTAGTGTTGAACTGCTTGTAAAACCCCAAGTGAGTTGTGCTTGTTCACAACAGAATTGTCTGGAACTCTCCTCCCTACTACACCCTACCATGGTCCAACTCCCACATGGTGAACTAAGTCCAAATTCATCCTCACGACCCGGCATGGGTGTCCTTTCTTTGGGGAAGCTTCCCCCATTGGAGATACTGCCACTGGGCGCATTTCCGAGGCCTCTTCTCTCTTAAGCATGGTATATGCATGGTACTACAAGTGACCTGCACTTACCTGCATCCACTGCTAGCCTGTGAGTGCCATGAGCAGAGGGACTCAACGCTGATGCGCACGGCCTAGCAGAATGCTAAGGACAGATTGCCATGAAGATGAGTCGGAGTGGAATTCTCTACTGAGAAGGCTCAAAGTCAGTTCCCACCTGGGCTCCCTTCTCCTCCTCCTCCTCCTCCTGATTTTTCGCCTCCTCCTGCTTCTTCTTCTTCTTTTTTAAGAATTATTTTATTTTTATTGCAAATTCAGATATACATAGAGGAAGAGAGATAGAAAACAAGATCTTCCATCCATTAATTCACTCCCCAGGTGGCCGCAACAGCCAGAGCTAAGCTATCAGGAGTTTCTTCCAGGTCTCCCACGCGGGTGCAGGGTCCCAAGGCTTCAGGACGTTCTTGACCGCTTTTCCAGGCCACAAAGCTAGGAACTGGATGGGAAGTGGAGCGGCCAGGATTAGAACGGGTGCTCATATGGAATCCTAATGCATACAAGCCGAAAACTTTAGCCACTAGGCTACTGCACTGGGTCCCTGTGTTCTCTTCTTCATAAGCAGCAAAGCCACTTCTCTCCAGGCCTTACCCTTCCTCCCTTGGTCTTCAGGCCCCCTTATCCCCTCACCCTCTAAACATTGATTATGATTTGACCAGCAAATATGTTCTGTATTTCAGGTATTCAATGGGTATTTCATCCACTTCTTTGCTCCTGAGAACCTGGAACCTATTCCCAAAAACATCCTCTTTGTTATTGATGTTAGTGGTTCAATGTGGGGAGTTAAAATGAAACAAGTAAGTACCCCCTTGTTTGGCCTGGGATGTGGGGCTCCCTACCTTCCTTCATCCTCTCCCCGTAATGCAATTGCTTGGTCTTTCTTGCCTGCTCAGTGCTAGAACCCAGGGTGAAGGCTTCCAGCTTGGAGTGTAAACTCTTCCCAAAGCTGGATATTATTTTACGTTCATAGGACAAATGCCCCGAAATACTCCTCAGCATCCTTGCCTTCCCAGCTCCCCTTCCATCTCAACTCTCTCTTTGCAAGCTTCTCTTCCCTCTCTTCCTCTCTTTCCGTTCTGTATCCACTATCTATTTGTGAAACCATCTCAGAAATCCCCTTCAAAAAATTTCATCTCTGCATAACCTTTTCTCATTGTGAATACTCTTCTGTGAATTTATACTTTCAATTATTCCACATATTTTTCTTTAATATCTTGCTACTGTCTACGAGTAACTTTTAGATCTTTAGTTGAGGGTATATTATTTTCACATTGTAGAATAATATTTACTTATCATTTATAATAATATGAAATAATCTATAATGATATAATAATTATAATTACTTGAGGGTGGCTACCCTGTTTTGTGTCTTCCTAATTTGGAACTGAATATAAATTTCACCAATTAATGGGAGAGATACAATTCCAACCAACAAGGAATGTCTTAATTTACCTGTCAACCCTTCCATATGACCAGTTTAAACAATTAATTAATGATATCTCATTCAACAACTTTTTTTTTACCACCATGTGTTCACTAGTATTCTACACTTCATCTTAACCAAAAGACAGAGAAGGAATATTCACTAGTATTCCAACTCCCACATTTGTGTTCCAGTACAAGGTTACTCAGTAGAAGCACTCCTGAGTATTTTGGATGGGATTATTCTGTTCTGTGTTTTGTAGGATGGCTGGCAGCACTCCCAACCTATCCACAACACACCCTCCAAAGTCATGGCCATCAAGTGACTTTGTTGTCCTGTGTCCCCTGGGGAAAGCAATCACCCTCAGTGGGAACCATTGTTCAAATACAATGACTTGTTTGTTGCTTTCTTCTTCCTATCATTCATTTGCTGAACAAATATTTACCAAGTACCTTTTGTGTATCAGGCGTTTAGTTCCATCAGAGAGCAAAACAAATAAAAGGAAAAAGGGGGGAAAATGGTCCTACTCTCCTAGAGCAAATAAAACTTGCATGGGGAGGGGAAGGAAAGGAAAGACAGGGAGAACAGAGAATAAATAGTACACATAATAGGTAAGTTTAAAAGAGCACATAGTGGTAGTATTATGAATAACATTTTTATTAAAAAAAGAACTATGGGCAGGTGTTGTGGATACACCATTTAAGATGTTGCTGTGACAGCCTAATCTTGTATCAGAGACTCCCAGTTCAAGTCCTAGCATCACTTTCATGTCCAGCACCTTGCTGAAGAAGAAGATGTTGGCTCAGGTAATTAGGTCCCTGGCATGCTTGTGGGAATCTAGGAATGAATCCCAGGCTCCAGGCTTGGACCTGGGCCAGTCCTGGCTGTTGACAGGCTTCGGACAATGAACCAGCAGATGGAAAGTCTTTTGTTTCTCTCTCTTTCAATCAAATAAGTAATTTTAAATGTATGGAGGAGACTAAAAACCAATAACAGGATGTATCACAAAGCAACTAATAAAAGAATGAGAAGAAACTCTGGGAGACATAATGATTTAAAGAGAAAGATGAAAAATGCCTCGAGGGAGTGGGTGAATAGACATGAGAAATGTATTTTTCAGGAATGGAGTGAGCACATGGATTTTGTAATCTTTAACTAAGACCAGACAAGCCTGTGCACATGTCAAAATACACAGTAACAGGTAAGTCCAAAGAACCAATAATACATGTCCAGATGACATAGATAAATTTCTAGGTCTAAGAGGTTGTTGCCGGAGGAAGTAAAGCTTGAGTCAATGCTTACAAGGTGACTAGTATCAATGATTGGTCTTGTTAGTTTTCCCTTAGGCTTAGAACTTATATAGTGAGATCTCTCCTCTCTTTTGAAACAGACTGTGGAAGCAATGAAAACAATATTGGATGACCTACATGCAGAAGACCAATTCTCTGTAGTTGATTTCAACCACAACATTCGAACCTGGAGAAATGACTTAGTTTCAGCCACTAAAACACAAGTCGCAGATGCCAAGAGGTACATAGAGAAAATTCAGCCCAATGGAGGTGAGTGGGATTGGCCTAAAGCCCAGTGAGAAACTCAAGTCTTGGCTCACTTAAGGAAATAGCCTTAAGAAAGGTTACCTCCTAGCACAGCAGTCTTTGCCTAGTCTGCAATGACCTACCTTCAACAATATACTTGAAGGTAAATGATGAATGGTAATCCACACCACACACTATTTCCAACCTTTCACACACAAAAAAGTTCAATAAGTGATGCTACCCTTTCTTATTATCTGCGTAGCATAAACTACAATTGTCACAAAAGTTGATTTAGGATGTGAATTTGGTATTTAACAAAATGACCAACCGGTGCAAAGGGCTAACTCACCTGTAAGAAGATAGTTTATCTCACAGCGAATACTTTACTACACACGAAGCTCTTGACCAAGGTGAGCACAACTTGTGTCACCAGGAAAACAATCAAAGATGTTTTAATATTTATTTTTATTTATTTGAGAGGCAGAGAGAGAGAGACAGAGAGACAGAGAGAGACAGAGATCTCCCACCCTCTGGTTTACTCCCCAATTGTCTGCAACAACTGGAACTGGACCAAACTAACACCAGAATCCAGGAACTTAATTCATGTTTTCCACATGGGTGGCAAGGATGCAAGTTCTTGAGCCATTCCCTGCTGCCTCCTCTGGTGTGCATCAGCAGAGGGCCGGAGTGGAAGAGGGAACTGAGATCCTCATTCAGGCACTAGCAGCAGCTTAACCACTACACCAAATGCCCATCCCTCCAAGATTTTTATATTGAACAAATTATGCAAAAACAGCCACTACACAAATGAATCTGATTCCAAGATATTTGTGTGTATGGAAAGAAAGCATATGCAACTGCACACTGTATTCCTTCAACAGGCACAAACATCAATGAAGCACTCCTGCGGGCAATCTTTATTCTGAATGAAGCCAATAACTTGGGACTATTGGACCCCAACTCCGTCTCTCTAATAATTTTGGTTTCAGATGGAGATCCAACTGTAGGCAAGTATCACTTCAATTTTCTCTGGACCACCATGTTCTTAAGAGTGTCCTTTGCTTAGAATGGAAACTCCCATGACATTAGCTCCAGTTTCTGTAACATTTAAAATCTGCTTCCTAAAAGGCTTCTGGCTCCCTTCTAGTCCTCAGACACCTTCAGCAATGCTCTTTTTAAAAAGGATGTATCTATCTATCTATCTATCTATCTATCTATCTATCTATCTATCTATCTTAAAGTTGAGAGAAGTACAGAGATCTTCCATCTGCTGATTCACTCTCCACATGGCTGTAATGACCAGGATTGAGCCAAGGTGAAGCCAGGAGCTAGGAGCTTTATCAGCTCTCACAGATATGTGCAGGGACCCAAGCACTTGCAGCATTTTCCCAAGATCTTTAGCAGGGATCTAAATCAGAAGTGCAGTGGCCAGGTCTCAAACCAGTGCCCAGAATAGATGCCAGCATTGCATGCGGCAGCTTTACCAGCAATACCACAATGCTGGCCCCTTGAGTTACTTTTGAATGCCTCTCTATCCCGCAACATGAGGCATGTGAGTTTGAATTGTTCTAGCATGTTGTGAGGACTGCTGGCATACACTTGTAGTAAAACACGCTGATTTCTTCCATGGCAGATATGTGAATGCTGGGAGTTGTGAATAATAGATGTTTATTCCAGTTCTCCTGGCAGTTCCTTCACATTGCTCCAGCTGCAACCAGAGAAATGACAACGGTCAGATGCAGTCCAATTGAATCATTTTTCAAGGGTGTTGTGTCTTTATAATGATACAATAAGTAACAATGAATGCTGGGTTATGTTGCCTGAGTGTTTCAGGTAAGCCAGCGCTGTATCTAGTCCATGCCTCACTCGGCTGAACAGGATGAAACTGTGAGTGACAATAATAACAGCAAATAGGGTTTGAGAAATATGAAGAGAAAATCGTGTTGTTAACAATGAGAATAGAATGAGAAGTGTCTATGTATTTGTTTTAGATTCCAGGGTTTCCTCCTTCAGATCAGATTACTTTTAAAAATCAAGTTTTGAATAAATCCTAAGAAGAAAAAGGAAAACCTGACAAAGATAAATCTGATTCTCACTCTTTCTCAACTATTTGGTTTCTGTCTTGGAGTCAGTCACTGACTGTTAGTTTTCTTATATCCTTCTAGGGATAGTGCACGCATGCCTGTATACTGTACATACGTGCACATATATGTATATCTACATACACAAACATTCATGCATACATATGTGGATGTGTGTGTACAAATGTACTCCACATATATTTACCTTACTAATTTCCCTTGGAAATTATGTGGTTTTTGAGCTTGCTTGGCACAAATACATAAAGATTCACTATGTTCTGCTTAATAAGTGCCTAGCATCTCACTATTTATTTAAGTGTACCATAATTTTACCAACCTCCCTTATTGGTGACCAATGCTATTCCCAAATAATGTGGCTATGCACCATTGTTTATACTTCATTTCAGCATATATGAGTGTATCTGTAAGAAAAAATTTCAAGGAGCTGAATTACTGGAAGAAGTGGCAAATAAATTGTTAATCTTGATAGGTTTTGCTGAACTGTCCTTCCTGAATTTTCTAAAAATAACTCATTCCTTTTCTATTTGATATCACCAATTTTAGGTGAACTAAAACTGTCAAAAATTCAGAAAAACGTGAAAAAAAACATACAAGACAATATCTCGTTGTTCAGTTTGGGCATAGGATTTGATGTGGATTATGATTTTTTGAAGAGACTATCCAATGAAAACCGTGGACTTGCTCAAAGGATTTATGGAAACCAGGACACGGCTTCCCAGCTTAAGGTAACGTTTTCTTCTGTTCTTTCTGCTTTGTTTTTTAAATGTTCTTAATTCAAAATCATTCAACTACATATCTTTGATGCCTTAAAAAAAACACATAGGGCCACGTTTAACTCAAAAGTGTCATTATTTTAGCCATATTCTGTCGTAAGAATCAAAGACACATTCAGTCCTTTCCTTACCTGTTAACTCCGCTGCAATGCAATTCTGCACCAACCATGAGATGCGAAACAGTAAAGCAATGGGTATGCACTTCCCTGGCCATTGAACAAGGTCTACTGAAGCACCATCAAGGCCTCTGTGGCCCTTCAGCCGCACTGAGCAATTGATTTCCTTGGCACCAAGACCATCTTTTTCCCTTTTAAGAGCATGGGCACCTAGGACATCATCTTTTTAATGATGTAAAACAGATCATACCATGGCCTTCACACTTCCTTAAATATAAGAGGTAAAATTTATTGTTTGTTTTGATGAAATGGACAAGACAATGATATAGGGAGATATATATGTATTTACACCTGAGTGTTTCAGGTGTAATATATATATATATTCCCCCTCCCCCTCTGGCCTCTCTCAGCATCAAATTTAAATTTAGGAACTGGAGAGGGAGGAGTAAGATTCTAATACGCAGACCACCAACCCAGCTGCCTTTCATTTTTATGAGCAACTTCACACTTGTCATAACAGAGGGGGAGATTCTGGGATCTTAAAATAAAGGGCAATGTTCTTAATGAGTGTTTCTCTTTTCCATGTCTCTTTTTTTTTCACCTAATATTAATGATTGTTTTTCCTTGTTCCAGAAATCTCATGATAATAAATTAGGAAGTTTTTCTATGAAAAATAAGAAGAATACCAAAAAAAAATGTTTAGGGCCTACAAATCAATCATTATTTCTTTCTCTTTTTCTTTTTGCTATGCATTGTAGAAATTCTACAACCAAGTTTCTACCCCATTACTTCGGAATGTTCAGTTCAACTATCCTGACACATCAGTAACGGACATCACTCAAAACAATTTCCCCAGTTACTTTGAAGGTTCAGAGATTGTGGTGGCAGGAAGATTCGACCCTGATAAGTTGAAGCAAATACAGAGCATTATCACTGCTACTTCGGTATTTCTGCTTATTTGCATATTGCTAATTGTCAGCCTTGATTAAGTCTGTCTTGCATGTTAGCAGGCTAGTGTTCTGCATTCGCAGAATCAGGCGTGTAGAGTAAAAACAATAAGGGAAAAAGAAGGTATGAGGATATCTCTGCCATCTTCCCATCTGTTCCACAAGTCCTCGCCTTTTCATCCAGCTCTAATCCCCACTTCCATAGCATGCACCCACCTCTTCATTAGCAGTGGTCTCACATTTTTGTTTTGTTTTGTTTTCCTTTATTGTGCACACATCTTTTACTCACTCAAAGCAAACACTGAAGATGTGAATTTATGAGTCTATAATTCTGCTGTCTTGGTGATTTCAACTGAATCTTCCATTGTCTAGGCAAACACGGAGTTAGTCTTGGAGACCCTGGCCCAGATGGATGACTTGGAAGAATTTCTATCAAAAGACAAGCATGCTGATCCCAATTTCACCAAGAAATTGTGGGCCTATTTAACCATCAATCAGCTGCTAGCTGAGCGGTAAGAAGAGTCCACACACCACAGGGATCTGTAAAATACAAATGTTCACTTTGTGTGTCTGAAGTCACACATACAGTTTGTAACAAAGAAAGATAGCAAATTAACAATGTAGGTTTTGGACTATTAATGTCCACTGATTCTAGCACTTACAATAAACCTGGGTTCACTCTTCTATACAACTGAGTTCTAACATAGCTGTGAAGTATACTAAGTCTACAGTTTAACAATTTTTGTGTTGTCCATGTAGGTACCACCCTGATAGAGATGTGGAAATACTAAGAGTTCTTTGTTCTTTCCCCCCGCCCCAGTCTCAACACGCACCCCCCACCACCAGTGGAAACCACTGTTGCAGCATCTGTTACCACCAATGAGCTTTGGCTACAAAAGAAAACACTCCTATAATCTATAGGGCTGGCCCTACCTCCCAGCTTCTTTCATTCAATAGGATACCTGTGAGATTCGGTCAAGTTTTTCAGTATTTCAGTAGTTGATCTGTATTTACTTTTGGGAACAAACCATCATCCAGAGAAGAATTATAGTTATTCAGTTATAATATCAGCTAAGGAAGAACTTCCTAATGTTGGTGCATGTCACCCCTGGTATCTCAGCCAAGTTACATCTCAGCTCTCCAACATAAACAAACAAAATATAAATTGCTTGGAGGCTTGTATGGTTCTTTGGCCACACACTTCAGAGCTACCTGGGACTGTTGGACAAAAGTCATTGTCTCAGAGCCCTGCTCCATTTATTAGACCAGAATCTCAGGAAATGGAACAGGGTTGTCTGCACTAGGTTGGGAAGATGAAATATTCTTGGACTGACAAAGAAAAATACATGATGTTGTTAACATCCTAAAAAGGAAAATACAAAACTATGACATGTGGCTTTCAAGTGAGCAAACTCCCTGCCAGGTGACTGGAATTCACTGGATGTGTTTAATAGCACAGAGCAAGTTGCTGCAGAAGTCAAATGTTGGCTTTTTTTTTAATCCCTGTTTAAAAGGAAAAAAAAAAATGTGGTTCCTTGGGGTTGTGCAGTGAGTGAGGAGGAACAGACACAGCCAAGAGGATTTTTAGAGCAGTGACACTGCTTTCTCGAGTATCACAACAGTGGGCACGGGTGAAAATGCAATTATCCAATCCCACAGACCGTACAACACTGAGTCCTGAGGTCAGCTGCAGACGCTGGGTGATTATATATCAATGCAGGTTCAGTGATTAAGGCGAAAGTCCCATTCTGGTACAGGATGTAAATAGTATAGGAGACAGGGGGAATACAGAAAATCTCTTCATACCTTCTGTTCAATATGGCTGTGAACTTTAAAAATGCCCTACAAAAAGACTTTAAAACAGCAACCGTGCTTGGGACTACAAAGCTAGATGTAACACTAAACTTCATAAAACCAGTTAGTCGTGTTTTCCTCTTGCCTTGTGCCCATCATGCTGACCAGGTCCTCGTGGGGCAGCACAAGTTGGAAGCAGGGAGGATTGTGGGATCTGAGTTCAGCCTCACAGGTAGTGATCTTCTATAATGTCTCAATTTCCTGAGCACAGAAGCCTGGCTTCTACAGAGGTTGCCAAAAAGAAAATTACCAAAACAATCCTGCAGATGTCGCTTGAACATCATATTGTGACCCCATTCACTGCGATGGTGATCGAGAATGATGCTGGGGATGAACGCATGCTGGCCGATTCTCCTCCACAGGATCGTTCTTGCTGTGGAGGTCAGTGTTTCCTATCTAAAAAAAGAAAGAAGAGAGAGAGAGAGAAAAGGGGAAAAGGAGGAGGGGAGGGAAAAGAGAGAGAGAGAGAGAGAAAGGCACAGAGACAGAGATGGCTCCTCTGTTGGTTCAATTTCCAAATGGCTACAAAATCTGGGAATAGGCAGTTCTCAGCCAGGAGCTGGAAACTCCAAGGAGATGCCCTGCATGGGTAGCAGGGACCCAAGTCCTTGAGCCCTTGCCTGCTGCTTCCCATGCTGTGTATTAGCAGGAAGCTGGAGCCAGGCATGGAACTGGAATTCAAACCAAGTATGGCTATATGGGATATCGGCAAAAATCTTAGTCTTTACACCAAATGCCAGCCCTCTGCCCTCTCTACATTCATTTCTGATATTGACACTTAAGGTTTCTCATCTTGTTTAAATTGATGCAACAAATGTGTGTCCAGCATATTGTAAATATTGATCTTTTAAAATAAACTGCTACATCACTGCTTTAAATGTACACAGTGAAACAGAACACAGACCTTGAAACTGGCCATAATCCTTTTAAAAATTAATGAATTCTATTTTAGTCATTGGAAATGTTAAATTTCAAATTTGTATTTCTGTTTCACTTTCCTCACAGAACTATGTCACAATGTGATCTCTTTTTATTGATCACGCTGTTGCTCTGCAAGGAAAATGTTTACAAATCTTAATGTAAGCATTTTTAAATTAAAAATTATGATCACAAGAGTCTCTCATTGTTACATTTTTCACTAGGCCAGATTCAATTAAAACACAATCAAATAAATACATGATAATTTTTTATACACGTGAGAAGCAAAATTTGGTTAGACGTCATCCCTTAGTGAGCAGTGTCACTTTTAAAAATGTACCCATAGGTAAATATTAATTGTAGGTATGTTGAAAGAGACAGAATTTTGCATAAATTTTACTTTTAAAATTATATGGCCATAAATTCTGATAAAACTGGTTGATATGTAAAAGTGGATACCAATTGTGACCAATTTCCTTGGGAAAGTAAACCTGGAAATTAATGGATAGAGGTTTTTTTTCTACACAGGTTCCCTGTATTATGGTGAAAAAGTTCCACCAACTTCGATCCCTTCTTGGGCCAACCCTTCTCCAGCACCAGTGGTTTCAATGCAATTGGCAGCATCTCCTGTGCTTGAGTCCACTCCTCCTCCACATGTGATGAGAGGTAAATTTCAGTGTGGCTTCTACCTCTTCTGTCTACCTCTACCTGGGTGGCATGCGTGCGTGTTAATATTATCACTATGTACAGGAAAAATGGGTGACTTTGATGGGCATCATTGCCTTTTAGTAAGAAAAGCAAGCTCCATGTAGTATCCTGCCACAGCAAAAGTTTCACAACCTGGGGATGGGGCATGTCTTTCTCATAGCTCTAGGGCTGAAAATCCAAGATCAAGGTGCCAGCCAGGTAGGCATCATTTTGAAGCCGCCTAGCTTGGCTTGTAAGCAGGTGCCATTTCATTGCAGGCTCATATGGCCTCTTCTTGTCATGTGTTGAGAGAGATGGAGAGAGAGCATCCACTGGGGTTTCTAATCAGGGCATTAATCTACCATGACAATTGTCATGACCAAGTGCAGAATTTCCCAAGGACTCCACCTCCAGATACCATCACACAGACAGCCAGGACCTCAGTAAATGAGTTTAAAGGAGTGGACAGCTCCATCCATAGTACTACTTTTCCAGCTGTATGAGAGAAACCCTGTGAAATGGAAGATATGGGTCAGTGGGTTAGCTGTGAAAAGGCATTCTGTCTGACCAAGTTATTTAATGTTTCTGTATCTTACTTCCTTCATAATGGAACTTGGCATAATCCTACTTGTATACATATTGATAGCTAATCATTTATTCAACATAAAAGCATTTCTAAAGAGCTAGAATATAGTACTTGACAAATGGATGTTACTAAAAATTAGGAACCGCACATTATAAGATAAAAGTATATTACAGTTGTTTCCTAGATGCATGTCATATTGTAGGGTTTATTTCTAATGCTGTGTAGCAATCCTAGTCTTGCTCATTCTGACCATTCTGAAAATGCTTTTCCCGGGAAGCATGGATAGCAGATGTGTCACCATCTCAAGGACAGTAAAACATGTTCTTCTTTTTCAAACATGTGCTTATTTCATTTTCACTTGAAAAGTAAAGAGACAGAGAGAAATCCCATTCACTGCTCCCTCCCCAAATGCCCACAACATCCAGGACTGGGCCACACTTAAGCAAGGAACCAAAAATCCAATCTAGCTGACCTGCATGGGTGGCAGGGACCCACATACTTGAGCCTCACTTGGTTCCCCCTCATCCCCCAAAGCATGCACACCAGCAGAAAACTGCCCTGGGAGCAGAGAAACCAGGATTTGAACCAGGCATTCTGAGAAGTGATACAGGCCTCCTAGGAGGCTGTTTTGCACACTACACCACAATGCCTGCCACAAGTAAAATGTTTGTGTGTGAGGTTGGACCACTTGGTTTCCTAGTGCAGTTGCCAATGTCTTTGTCCTCCTCCTGTTCATCTCTCTGGCATCAGTTCTGTCAATCAATGAGCCAGAGGAACCATCTAGGGAAAGTGGGAGAGATAGCATCCCTTCTTCCTGCCCTGGCTCCCACTGTGCTGTCTTCATCCAGCTGCCTGGCAATTGGCTAGCCCTCTGGAGCAAGCCTAGGCATACTTAGTTCTCCGTTCTTTGCTTTTTGTTAGAATCGAGTTGGGTTTCAACACTCAAAGAGCATTCCTGCCCCTTAATTCCCCCACCGTAGGCAGGTCAGAAGGGTCAGCTTCACTTGGAACTTTTGGAAATGATAATAGGATAGTAGCTCTTGCTGTTCCTAGAACAGCTTTCTAGACTGATGGAATATAGATTCTTGTGGCATGAAATTCCCACAACTGATTTCTGAAGTGTGCGTCTACCACACTCCAAACATTGTATTTTAACAGAAATACTTCCATGAACACAGAAGGGCTGTTTTATGTCACATCATCTCAGTTGTGTGTTTTAGCTCTAAAATTCTTCTGGGAGGGTCAAAGGAGATTGACTTTTCTACTTCCTTGGTGGTAATACTTTGCATAGTCTCCCCTCTGTCCCTCCACACGTTTACCGGATATGAATCTCACTCTTAGTCTTTTCCTGCCTGTTCATGAATCTATTTTCTGGCTGCATTTGCTTTTTAAACAAATCACCACGTGTTTTACCTCCATACTGTTCTTGTGCACATAGAATAAAATATCTATTTCATCTTTCATCTCTCCTCTTCTTTCAAGATTTAGTTCAAAGCCATAACCCTCACACAGCCTTTCCAGGTTTTCCCAGGAGCAGAAAGTTAACCCTCTTCATTGTCAGAGCATTTTGCTGGGGCCATTATTGCCCACTCACATCATTTGACCTTACACAAGTAGTTACATCTGTCTTCTTGATTAAAGTGTTTCTTTGTTTCAGTGTGCAGATCATGACTTGTTTTATACCTGCATCAAACATTGTCTATGTTGGTGTTTGGTATAGAAGTTTCCTCCCCCTCACCAAATATCCATTTAATGGTTAAATGGGGACAAAGGAGACCAGGAAGAGTACAGCAGGATTCAGATGTCCAAAAACAAAGCTGTATTTTCTTGGGGGCAACTGGATTCTCTGTTGCCTCTGGAATTGATGAACAAAAAGAATAGTCTATCACTTTACTTTTTTCTGTCCTGTTTCTGACAGCTTCCAGAATTACATTCTACTTATCTCTGCTTATACACACATTTGTGTACATGCTTCCTATATAAGTATTTCTTATTGCTTGGGTTTTATTCATTCTTTATCTCTACCTTCTCTGACAACCAGCGTAGTACATACGTGATCAGTACAGAACAAATATTCAGTGTCTCTAGAATAACATAGACTCTGATGGCAGCTCTGTGATGAAGGCTCTTTTGAATGCAAACCTCACAACACTGAGTAAAACACAATAATTTTTCAGGGTACATTACAAGTGCTCAGGGATAAAATACTGTTGTAGCTTCCTTCTCTAATGTTTTCTTTGTTTTCATTTCCCACTTGTATTTCCAGTTGAAAACGATCCACATTTCATCATTTACCTGCCCAAAAGCCAAATGAATATTTGTTTCAATATTGACTCAGAACCCGGGAGAATCCTCAACCTGGTTTCTGATCCGGAGTCAGGTAAATTATAAGTGCATTAGGTCATTAGGTAATTGTCACATTTCCATCAAACAGGTTAGGATGTGTTTCCTTTTTGCCTCAACAAAAGTTCTATGTTTTTCAAACTCATAATTAGTGGGATATTAATCATAAATGTATCCATTCATATTTTGAATCATTCTAGTTCAAAACACAAATGCTAAGAATGAACTGATCTCAGTGGAATACAAAAAAAAAAAAAAAAAAAAAAAAAAGAGGGTGGTAGAAACCATGAAGCAAAATCCTAGTAATTCCCACCAAGTTTTAGAAAGTCCAGTTACAGTGTCCACATATAATAAAAAATGGCAGACAAGAGAGAGACATATATATATATTTTCCTGCAGGGATTTCAGTCAATGGTCAGCTTATCGGTGCCAAGAAGTTCCAGAATGGAAAACTAAGAACTTATTTTGGAAAACTGGGATTATATATTCAAAACAAAGACGTGAAAATAGAAATCAGCACTGAGAACATTACCCTGCATCACGGCTCTCGTACGTCTGTCTTGTCCTGGTCTGACACGGCTCACGTGGCTTATCAGAGGCAAGTGTCATTCCTAAGAATTCCAGCCTGCCTTTAACATATGACTTTATAAATATATCCAAACATCATCAACAATGTAAAATTTAAAACTGGCCTTTTAAATATCAGGAAGACAAAGTTCAGAAAAATGCTCTGACCCATTCCCCTATTTTTAGCTACAGGAAATGTTTTTTGGTTTTTTTTTTGGGGGGGGGGGCGGTCACTGTACGTTTCAGTGTTAGCCTAGTGTATTACATACAATAAGTGCTGAAATCATATGTATTACATCAATGAATGAATCCATCAGCTGAAACCCATATAGCCCTGCTTTGTCAGGGAGTGCACTACAAACAGGATGATTACGCCTTATGCCTAGTATCTTCTGTTAGTACCTGTCTCTTGCTCCCTTGCTCATCTATAAACATGTAAATGGCAGAATCTTAGAGCTGGGAGTAAAAGCACCAATGTTGCATTATAAGACTATGATAAGGCTTTTAGGAAACTAGTGGAATTAAGCTGGGAAGAATGGGAGAGTTCTTTGTTAGGGTGAGGAGAGCAACTTTCTAAAGAAGTTTAACTTGGAAGTGCTTAATTGCATTTGATTTTCACAATAGGGTGGTTATCTCAGTGAAGAAAGAAAAAACTGTGACTGTCACTGTGGGTAAAGACATGTTTTTTTCTGTTCTACTTCATCGTGTGTGGAAGAAGCACCCTGTTAATGTAGACTTTCTGGGGATCTACATTCCACCCACAAGCACGTTTTCTCCGAAAACACATGGACTTATAGGTAAAGTATCCATCAACCATCTGGCAAAAGTGTCATAAGCAACATTGCATGATGGCAATGAGAAACCGGTAAGTGACCAGTGCACAGTAGCAGAGAGCGTAATAATGGGAGTGACTCAGAAATGCAACAACCAGCACCGTTTGTCTTTCCAGGCAGTTTTTCCCAAGGCCAAATTTCAGCATCACAAAACTGATCCAATTTTCAGTTATATGCTGAAGAAGTTTTGTTAATTGAAGAGAGGTGAACTAGTTTAGGATGTCTATGATAATAAGAACATTCTGGACAGCTATTCCTAGCAGGGTTTCTAAAGATTTATTTATTTTATTTGAGAATCAGAATTACAAAGAGAGTGGGAAAGATAGATCTTCCATCCACTGAATTACTCCCCAAATGGCTGCAATGGGAAGAGCTTGGCTGGTCTCAAGCCATGCACCAGGAGTTACTTCTGGGTTTCCCATGAGGGTGGAGGGCCCAAGACCTTGCTTGAGCCATCATCCCCCTGCTGCTTTCCCAAGCATCAATAGGGAGCTAGGTTGGGAGTAGAACAGCTGGGACTAGAACCAGTGCCAAAAAGGTGCTGGCACCACAGTGGTGCCAATGCACACGCTTCTAGTGTGGCCCAGCACATCAAACTGACCATAAGGGCATCTGATGTCAGCAAGAACCCCTCCTCACAGTCCCTCCTTTCACTTAGGGACATGCCCTGCTACCTCAGGACCCCAGGATTGTTCAATGGTGAGGCTTTTTATTTCTATTTAACCTTGGATTACACGTAAATAGGTGGTTGGATTCTTTTTTTACCAGGCCAGTTCATGCATGAGCCCAGGGTGCAAATCTTCAATGAGAGACTAGGAACAGATCCCGAGAAGCCAGAGGCAAGCATGGAAGTGAAAGGACATACACTGACTGTCACCAGGTAGGCCTCGTGTTAGACAATATTCAAAAGGGCCCTGTTAGGAAGGGCCTCCCAGCAAGGCAGAGCAAGAGGCTGTCTTAAGCACTGTCTCCATCCTAAACAGTTTGTCAGGAACAGACACACACTCAGTATTTGCATAAAGACACCTCACCAAGCCTCAGGCTCTGACCTTTCATGACTTGGGGAGCAGGGATAGGTGGGGAGCAGGCAAACAGTGGTGGAAGCGGAACAGTAGCAAGGGGCAGGGGTGTCTTGTTTTCTAGTTGCACTCAGCTTCCATGCCTTAAAGTGGCTTCTCACCAGATACACGGTTTTCCTTGCAGGGGCTTGCAGAAAGACTACAGGACGGATACAGTGTTCGGGACAGACGTTCCCTGTTGGTTTGTGCACAACAGTGGAAAGGGTTTCATCGATGGACGTTACAAGGATTACTTTGTGCCTCAGCTCTTCAGCTTTCTTAAATGGTCTTAAAGGTTTACTGTTTTGGAAGTTGCACATATGAAGATGGCTTCCCTCTTTTCCCTGCCACTTGTACAGTACAGTCATTTCTCAGTTCAAATGACTTAAAAAAAAAGATATGGGGGGTTATAGTCTATTAACACACTTGAAGCAAATAAATATTTTGCAAAGAAGCCTGAGGATTTCATTTGTATTTTTAGACACTAAGGTGTGTTCAAGATGAGGTAAGAAAACTGACATGACAACAAAAGCTGGTGTCTAGACAGTCTTAGACTTGGCAATGACTTTGAGTTTCCTTCCTGTTGAATGGCAAGTCCTCATCGTGACAAGCTAAGCACAGATTGACATTGTCAGTTATGTGGAGGCTGAATGCTGAGGTTATTTGATGAGCATGGAATCTGACCAGTGGAAGTTGCTTGGTCTTAGCTGCTTTGTAGAAATTTATACTGCACAGCCCTGTTGCCTTCTGTAGGGGTAGCCTTGCTAAGGTAACTGATGTTCCATTGTATGCTGAGCCTCAGTTTTCTCCATAGTGTTGGCCCAAAGATCCTTCTTTTTTTCCCCCACTTCCTGAGACCCATAGCTATCAGATTTGTCAAGAGGAAAGCAATCAACAAATTTCTTATAAGGACTGCCTGATGCAGTTACGGAAGGAGTTAAATCTGAGATCTGCAGGGTGGGCCCATACTGTGGAATATCCAGGGAATGTTCCTGTTTGAAGACCATCAGGGAAGAAGGACTGCTATTGCAGATGAAAGTTGAGGCAGTCCTCCAGAAAATTTTGTTGCTCTTTCTTTGGTCCATTCAGGCCTTCAACTGCCTGGATGAGGTCCACCCCTATGAGCAACCTGTTTCACCCTTATCCATTGATTTAAATGTGAAAGTTATCCAAAAACATTCTCACAAAAACATTCATAGTAATGTTTGACCAATTATCTGGGCATTCATGGCCCAAGTAAACTGACCCATAATATTAACCATCACAAGGCCTTCAGGGGTCAACCCCACTCTGTTCACAAAGCCACTCTCCAAATAAGATGTAATACAGTGAGGTCTGTGTCTGTTCTGACAATCACATGATGCCGCCCCCCAGACAGCATTCCAAGAGCACCTTACAGGTGGTGTTAGTTCAAAACTCTTCTGAGACCTAGAATCACCTCAGAGGACTAATGTACACAGTGTTATTACTAAGTGAATTCTAAAAGTGCTGTGAATTCTCAAAGTGTCTGTGAATGTTTTCTCAAAAAATGTACTTACCTTGAACAGTTTTTCTTAGCACTCAATTTTTATTGTGTTTTATTTAAACAATTTCTAAGAGTAATGCCATTTCCACTTTCAATCTTACAGATTTTGCTAAAAGATAGTAAATTATGCTCTAACAAAAGACTAATGACATTTTTAAAGAATAATATATGAACAACAAATTTAGAATGAAATCAAATGGCTTTATTATGTCTCACTTGTATGGTGGATTGGGGTGGTAAGGTGTGTCAAGACTGATTCATTATAATTTTGTGCTCTCCTTTATAACCTTCCTTTAAAAATCAGTTAACTAAATGGGTATCTTGTCAAGGATAAATTGGTGAAATTTCATTTTAAAATTTTGAAGAAACATTTTAATGAAATTTTCTATAATGAAAATAGTATTTCATTTTACACAGAACTCCCTATTTTTGGATCGATTCAACCTATTGGACCTATTTCTCACGTAAACATCTTTGATCTAGTTGGAAAATATTAAAGAAACTTCATTATTGTACAATCTAGAAATTACTTCAGGGCAGGATAGGTAAATGGTACAGCCACTTTGTTTTGTTCTTTTATAAAAAGTTACCTATCAGGCATTTTTTAAAAAATTCACTACATTTTGGGCCCAGCGGCGTGGCCTAGCAGCTAAAGTCATCGCCTTGAACATGCCAGGATCCCATATGGGTGCCGGTTCTAATTCTGGCAACCCCACTTCCCATCCAGCTCCCTGCTTGTGGCCTGGGAGAGCAGTTGAGGACTGCCCAAGGCCTTGGGACCCTGCACCTGTGTGGGAGCCTCAGTAGAAGTTCCTGGATCCTGGCTTTGGATCAGCATAGCATCGGCCGTTGTGCTCACTTGGGGAGTGAATCATCGGATGGAAGATCTTTCTCTCTCTGTCTCTCCTCCTCTCTGTATATCTCTGACTTTGCAATAAATTAAATCTTAAAAAAAAATTCACTACATTTTCCCATTTCCTACTGCAAAAATACTTAAAGAAGAATTATGGGGGTGTGGAGCAGCCAGGATACGAACTAGTGCCCGAAAAGGATGCCTGCATTGCTGGTGATAGCTTTTTACCCTTCAATCTGGCTGGCCAGTTGTTGAAGCTGTTTGGGGAGTGAACCAGCACACAGCAGATCTCTCTCTCTCTGCCTCTCCTTCTTTCTGTAAATTTGTCTTTCAAATGAAAATAAATTTTAAAGAAAAAAATTTTTTTTTTTTTCGAAAAGGAGGAAGAAAAGAAGATTCAGCTAAACTAGTGAACAAAAGTTGGGACAGATAAGAGGGAAGATGGCCGACGTAGGAGAAAGGCTATGAGGGAGAGTTCAGTGAGAGAAGGTTAGAGTGCTGCAGAGGCAGCGAAGAGGAGCGGCAGGAAACCGTAGGGAGAGGTCCGTGAAACTCCCTGGGACAGTGTGGAGCCAAAAAGTTCCACACAACTCGGAAGAACAACGAGAACGGAGCAGGGCAAAGGTAGAGAAGCCGACATCCCACTCCAGACCTGCTGAGTCACCTTTGAGAGCGGCCTGACGGGAGACGCGGCCAGCTTGGAGACAGGGAAATCGGAGGGATCGTCGCCGGCGGAATTCTTCAACAACAGCAGAAGCAGACTGCAGCAGCCGGACTTTGGTGAGCTGGGGATTAACGTGGCAGCCTCCGCATTCCCCACCCCCTGCTGAGGCTCCAGCCTCTGAGAACACAAGGGGCGCAACCTGAAACTGTCAGGTCTGTGCCTTGGGAACAGCGGTGCGTGTTGGTGGCTGAAAAGGTCCCGGGAAAGCGCCTCAGATCTTCCTGCGCTAAGTGGGCCAGTGCATCTCAGCGCGCGGAGGCTGCTGGTGGGAGTCTGGAATCCCCGACACCCTGAAACCCTGTGGGTGGGCGACAGCACCAGGAGGACTCTGAGCGCCGCGCCGGGCTGGGCTAGGCGGTCCCGCCTGCAGCAGCCGCCTCCGTAGCGCAGGAGTCAGGAGGGTGCTGAACTGGGAAGTGTAGCGCTGTGTGTCCCTGACACGCAGATGCCACTCCCATAGTGTGAACTGTCCATTCCTCGCCTCCCACCCCGCAGTCCTGAGTGTAGGCGACACACCGGGAGAGCTCTGAAATCTCCTGTGCCACACTGGCACTGTGCGATCCCGCTGAGAAGTTATTTTAACAGGGCGCCTGGGTCACACCTCCTCTACGGTCCTGTGAGGAGGAGCCACACACACACCACGAGTGGTGGAATCACTGCACAAGAGCCACGCCCAGAAAGTGCCTCAACCACAGTCTTGTGTGTGGGAGACACACCAGGCGGGCTCTGAAAAACCCTGCAGTCCCTGACAAGGAGAACGCAGGGAGAAAGCACATAAAACCTTCTACGTCCTGTGGATTCCCGTGCAGGGGGCGCGCCCAGAGAGCGCCTCCATCCCTCCACGCCCTGCGGTGGCACACCTGTAGAAGAGGTGCCCAGAGTGTGCCTGGAATCCACTGGGCCCCCAAGGTGGTGCTCTACAGCCCCGGGCCCTGAGAACGCACCAACGGTGCCTTGAAAATTACCACGCCCGGCAACACCACGCTTGCAGGCTCCAATCTCTACAGGAAAGCACCTGACAGCCCCTCAACACACGGGTCCATTTGCCTTACCAGAATACACCAACGCAATGGGAAAAACCACTAGAAAGAGCTGTGCTCCAGATGAAAGAGCCAGCACCCCACCAAACATGGGCCAAAAGCCATTATCAATATCGGCGATGCGAGATGAAGACATGGACGTGTTACCAGCAAAGGAATTGATGAAAATAATGCTAAAATTTCTCAGAGACGTGGACACAAAGCTGGAAGACTACCAGAACCGCATAATCACCGAAATACAACAAATCAAAACCAAACTGGATGCCCAAGAGAATAAAATTGAAAGCCTCATCAACAGAATAAATGCGGCAGAGGAAAGGATCTCTGAAACAGAAGACACACAAAATGAAAGTGCCCAGCGAATTAAACAGCTAGAGACAAACCTCAGCAAAACTAATAAAATGATGCAAGAGATGAAGGATTACCTTAGAAAATTGAATATTCGGATCATCGGCCTCCCCGAGGGAGTAGAAAGAGAATCTGGGATGCAAGCAGTGCTTGATGAAATTATACAGGAAAACTTCCAAAACACTTGGAACACGAATCCACCCCGCATACAGGATGGACAGAGAACTCCCAACAGACATGATCCAAAGAGATCTTCACCCAGACACACGGTGCTCAAGTTCTACTCCAATGAAGACAAAGAAGGAATCCTGAGACAAGTACGAAGTAGAGAAAAGATCACATACAGGGGAAAACCCATCAGAATTACTGCTGACTTCTCCGAAGAGACCCTACAAGCAAGGAGAGAATGGACAAAGATCTTCCAAGTCCTGAAACAAAACAACTGTCAACCAAAAATAATCTACCCAGCAAAGATCTCATTTGTATTTGAGAACGAAATCAGATACTTCAATAGCAAAGAAAAACTAGAAGAATATGTCTACACAAAACCAGCCCTGCAAAGTCTCCTTAGAAATGCGCTAGTCCCGGACAAAAAGGAGGCAAATCACAAACAAAGTTGGCAAATAAGAAGGTCTCCAAACTAAAGGCCGCACAAACAAGACAACTACATAGGCAACAACACATACACAACACAAACACATGGCAGGGCAAAATTGCAACCTCTCAATTTTAACTCTCAACACAAATGGTCTAAATTCACCAATCAAAAGACAGAGATTAATAGAATGGATCATCAAACAAGACCCAACCATCTGTTGCCTACAAGAAACGCATCTAACCAGAAAGGATGCAAAGAAACTGAAAGTGAAGGGATGGAAAAAGATATTTCACGCTAATGGACGAGAAAAAAAAGCTGGGGTAGCTATCCTAATTTCAGACGAGATAGATTTCATTCTAACTAACA